ATCCAGCGAGCCGGGAGGGGGCCGCGGAGGGCAGGCTGCGCTGCACCGTCCCTTCCTGCCCAAACCTGTCCACGAAGCACAGACCGGTTCGGGCTGTAATTTGGTGTGCTCCTTGCTGCTCCCGCGCAGGCAGCCCTGGGCTCTGGTGGGGATCCTCGGAGGGGATCCGGTTTCAACAGTGGAAGATCAGAGAGAATATCGTGGGACCGGGACAACGGGGCTAGCTGTAGCCCAAAGAGATTTCCAGACCTACGACGGAATCCGGTTCACCGTTACTGCTTTCAGCGGATGGGTGAAAGGTTTAGTGTCTCTCTACAGTTGTCTCTCTTCTGTTGCTTTATTTTTATTTTTTTTTTCTGGCTACTGAAAATCTGAATGAAGTGATGACATTAATACTGTAGAATTTTGCTCATGTGCATGGCCACCAAACTAAACCACAGTACTCTCATAAAATAACATTTGGGCTGTCTAGAAAGAGATGATATTGAAATATTTAGTGGCCAGAGCCCTGCTATCACACACGCGCTGTTGTCTAGATAAAATTAAATTGGTGCGCTCTTTGGCTAATTGCATGATAGTGTCATGCCCAACTGTAAAATAATTGATTGCTTCATTCTTCAGGGGTGCCTCATAATGGATTTAAAGTGGAGGTGTCCAAAGGAATAATTCTTCATTTAGCAGATGAAGTTACAAGCTGGTTACCTGGCGACAGAATAGTCATTGCCAGTACAGATTATTCAATGCATCAAGCTGAAGAGTTTAATCTCCTCCCTTGCACTGAATGTAAAAGTAATCAAGTGAAAATTGATGGTAAGAAATACTATATTAAGCTATTCCTTTGTGGTAAATGTTTACATTGTCAATTTTCAACTTGTCTTTGCAGCTCCATTTTGTCCTGTAAATGCATGGGCACTTGATGTGTGAGAGCTGAAGGCCCCTGCTTTTGAGACTTTAAAGTCTGACCCTGGGCAGCGGTCATTATGGGAGCCGTATGTGGCTTCTGGGATCAGCTCTGAGATCAGATACTAACAACTGGGTAATTGCCCAAAACTTGGTGATTGCTTAAATCAAAGGTGTGCACTTGCTTAGAACAACGTGATAACAAAGACATCGTACTCACCCTGAATAAAAAGAGCTCTGATTTTTCACAGGCAGCCCGCTTTATCTTCATATTGGAGAAGTTATAGATGGCATAGATATGAGGGCAGAGGTTGGTCTTCTGACGAGAAATATACTTATTCAAGGAGAAATGGAAGACTCCTGTTATGGACAAAATCAATGTCAATTTTTTTCCTTTGACACGTTTGGAGGACATATTAAAGTGAGTGACTTTTAATGCATATGCCTATAGGTGGTTCCAAATAGCTGCTTTCCTGGTTTGTCAACAAGTAATATCATGCAGGAAAGTACCACCGTGCCTGGGCGTACTTTCCACGCTTATCTACGAAGGAGGGGGAAGTTGGTTGGGCTATTTTGCAAAACTAGACTCCAGATGAGACTGTGACATTTTGTTCAGCATGTATGCAAAAATCTACTCTTTTCTGGGCTAGAGAGGATTCTTTAGAGCCACTGCTGCCAGTAGGGTCAGTGTGAAGTTTCACAGTTTGTGAGATGTCATCAAAGATGTCGTGTTTCCTTCAGAGCAAACCTGCTCCAGTGCTGGGCTGCCCCCCATTTTCCTTTGCCACCTCTTGCACAGTCCGTGTGCTCCTGGTGGAAGTGCAAAGTGTTGCTGCTGCAGAGGCCGCAGATAACATTAGTACATGTGCAGGCAGTTTGCAGATACTTGACTTTCCAGCCAGTGCTCAGAAAAAGCACAGAAGTGGCTCCAGTCGGTGGCATTTGGGGAGGGAGCTGTGCAGATGTTCTGCCCTCCTGTCACCCGAGGGAGATAATTTTGCCAGGAAACAGAGCCTATTGGTAAATGCAATGCTTTTCTATAGCTAGCAGGAATATTTTGTCCGTAGCTGTTTCACCTGCTTGTGCGCTGCTGTCAGTAAATGCTGCACACGCTGTTTGGCATGTCTGCGTGGCAGCGCCCCGCCGGCAGGGATTCAGCGGCTGGGGCCCTCCCCCCCCCGCGGCGGCACTGACACCTCCTTCCGCGATCAGGCCCTGTTTTACACTGCAAACATGTTGTCTACTGTTTATCAAAAAAAAAAAAAAAGGGCATTTTTTTTTTAATCTCGTGTTCTTCGTATATCACCAATACCTTACTTCACTCTACATTTATATCAACAGATCCAGAGGAATTTTAGCTCTGTTCACATGTCAGGGGTGGAATTAAAAAACATGGGGCAGCAAATCCTGGGCAGCTACCCTGTGCATTTTCACTTGGCTGGAGACGTGGATGAGAGAGGAGGATACGAACGCCCAGCTTACCTCGATAACCTGGCTATCCACCACTGCTTCTCTAGGTGTGTTGCCATACACGGAACTCATGGCCTTCTGGTAGGAGACACATTTTATTAATCCCAAGCTAATTTCTTTGCTTACGTGCTGCTAAACAGTAGATGTGTAAGAGTTGTCTTGATGCTTTGTGATTCGAAGAGAAATCAGAATACAGCACCTTTTTTCCCCCCGAAACGTTCTCATTTGACAACTTCATTTGACAGGCTTAGGACTGTTGCTGTGCTGGTGCTGTTCTTTGAAATGGATTTCAGGTTCTTAGTATTGTCTTATTAATTACTATTTTTAATTGTTTGAGCAGATATAGTAAAATTTTTGCTATGGTTATTCTGAACTGTTCGTGATAATCGAAGTTTTCATTTAAAAAGCAAGGTCTGAAGCAACGGACCTTTAACTTGCAAAGGAGATATAAGAGACAGGGTTTGTTCAAGTCAGGGGCTATGTGTCACGAATCCAAAATATTCACATGACAAAGAGAATGAAATATGAGCGAGACAGACCCAGTCGGACACTTCAGTGCCAGAAAAGCCCTCAGGAACTTGGCTTTGACCTAAATCCTAGCAAGGGCATTGGGGAGAGGAACTTTTTTTTTTTTTTAAAAAAAAAGAAAAAAAATTGCTTCAGCTAGATAAGATGTTTTCCTTCTCTAGTCTGGACATGTCCAGTTCCTGCGTGCTCTGCAGGACACTGCACAGTGTTTTGGTGTCAGTAGGCATTTCCTCATTCATGTAATGTGTGTTTAGACAGAGGCACTCCCTGAACTGCCAGTGACTCCCTGTGTTTTTTTTTTTTTTTTTTTGCGGACTTTTTTTTGACCACGGACATAAACTGCTGCTGTAACATGTGACAGAAATGTGCAGTGGTGGGCCCTTATGTAAAAGGATCCCCATAAAAGAATATATTTATGAAAATGGGATACTGGCCTTGTACAGCTGAGAGCACTTTTCATGAATCCTGAACTGTATTTATATTCTCCAGATCACCCAAAATTATTGACTACCTTCTCTCATACATGATTTTCTCTGTATATCGAGCCTGCTTTTGTCTGCTGAGCCCTCAGACGGCAGGAGACTTGCCCAAAATGTACAGAAATAGCGTAACTCCCTTGCTCTTCCCCTCAGTGTTAAACTCCTTGGATTGAAGGAACCTGCCTGGGATGCAAACTTAGGCCTTACATTAGTGTTGTTTCTGAGAAGTATGGCTTATGCGCTTGGTCTTTATCAGAAATGAGGTTATTAAGGGTTTATCTGGATACGTGTGACGCAGTAGATGTGAAGTCAGTAAGAATCCAAGTGCGAGACCAGCTCCTCAGCACGTGACTGTTGAAGGCTTTGAGTCCATGGATCAGTGAACAGATTTGATAACAAAGGATAAATATGCGATTCTGTGGAAGAACGGTGTGGTTTCAGTATAGTAACTACAATACAGAGTAATTAAAATGCATTAAAAACCTTGCTTTGAAATAAATTAAAATAATTTGCAGTTCCAGAGAACAGCACGTATAGCGGAGCAAGGCTGTTAAGTAATACAGATGAGCGCTCACCTTAGCATTAGATTACGAAACTTCAAGCTCTGAGGCGGATTAAACCAGACAATGTTTTTCCCCCCTCCTCTTTGGAGGAGGGGAAATTACGTCTTCAGGCGATGTAATTTCAGATCTGTGCGGCGGGAATGCCCTGTTTTGTGCTGCGCTGCGCCCGGTCGCGCAGTGCTGCGTGCGAGTCGCTGCTCCCGTCGGCTTGTGCTCCGTGCCAGCCTTGTGCCCCTGGCAGCAGCACGCACGGCTTGGGTTACGCACCGGGGTTAAAAAGCAGGTTGCGACCTGCCTCTCGCTTCCCTGGCACGCGTCGCACATACCGCAGAATACTGTAGTCTTTAATGTATAATGTTGCAGTGCATAAAGGTCACTTATATTGTGTTGCTGAGCTATATATAATTCGGTGTTTGGACGCCTGGTAATTATCTCACGCTGGACACGCCAAAGGGGCTGTAGGCTGCGTCGTGGGCAATGTCTCCCGCTGACAGATACAGTAATATGCTACTGCTGATGTCACGGTGCCGCAGGTGGGCCCTCACCTCCCAGCCTCTATTTTCTATCTGCAATACGCCAGAACCGATCAGGCCTGTTATTGCTGTTTTGTCCTAGCAATTTGAGCCCTTATCTTTCAGTGCAAATATAAACGCTCTTTAAATGATGTTATTTCTGGTTTGGAGGGTGATCCGTAAAGTTTCACGTATGAAAGTTCTCAGCGTTGCCATTTGTTTCTGAGGCTGTGATAAATCATATTAATTAAAGCTAAAATCTGGTTTCAAATACAGGGCTGATTTTTAATGCAACCTTCTGAAGCACAGAGTATCTAGACTTCAGCTAAATTCATGAGAATGAAACTCTACAATTGAAATGCTATTTCCTTGATGGCAGAAGGAGGTTTGCTGTTACAGTTTCTTTCCAAAAATAGTCTTCCATGGCATCCTTAACGCAGTTTCTGCCCACCACTTGGAAGGATATGAGTAGCTGGGCTTACTGTTCTTAGAAGGCTGGCAAAGAAATATGCATTTTTAAGTAACTCATTTCCTAATTATCTGTATTTTCAAAACTCAACTGATAGGGATGCTTTCCCTCGGTGTCGCTGCATGCAGATTTTCTGTATGTTCCTCATAGCTCACTTGGAGCTATTGCACCCGCATTCTGGGTCTCAGCTGATTTCCAAAAATGTGTTAATTACAGCCTGGTTGCCAGGCTGCTTTTTGCCTTATTTTTAACTATTTCTTGAACACCTCATTGAGGCAGACACAAAAGCAACTGATGGCATGCTTGAGGGGTGACTGCCAGGAAAACAGTGGCATCCAGTAGACAGAAGCCTATGGGAGTTGCGCTGCTTGTGACTCCAGCTGTTATGTACAGTGGCAGTTCATCACAGGGTAGTCATGGGATATGACTCCAAAGCGGATTTAGTTCAAGTATCCCTCTGTATATAGAAGTAACCAAGTAGGTTAAGATTAGTTAATCTTGCAGTCTTGCATGGACATAACTCTA